TCTCTCTCTCTCCCTCTGCCCTTGCCCTGCTGGCACTCTGTCTCTGTCTCTCAAAATGTGAATAAACATTAAAAAGTGTATTTTAAGGGGCCCCTGGGTGGCTCAGTGGGTCGAGCGTCCGACTTCGGCTCAGGTATGATCTTGTGGCTCATGAGTTCGAGCCCCACGTCGGGCTCTGTGCTGAGAGCTCAGAGCCTGGAGCCTGCTTTGGATTGTGTCTCTCTCTCTCTGCCCCTTCGCCGCTCATGCTCTGTCTCTCTCTGTCTCTCAAAGATGAACAAACGTTTAAAAAAAAATTTAAAAAAAAGAACTTGATCAAAAGCTGGGCCAAACGGGACACCTCAGTGGCTCGGTCGGTTGAGGGTCTGACTTCGGCTCAGGTCACAATCTTACGGTTTGTGAGATCGAGCTCTGCACGGGGCTGTCAGTGGGAGCTGGCTTGGGACCCTCTGCCCCCTCTCTCTTCACCTCTCCCGCTCACGCTGAGAAATAAACATTAAAAAATTTCATAATAAAAATACAAAAAAACAAAAGCTGGGCCGAAGACCTAACACACACCTGACCACAGAAGCTGGGGAGAGACGCTCTGTACCATATGTGGTCGGGGAAATGAATGCACGTTACCTCGAGAGCCACGCACACCTGTGAGGCTGGCCCAGACGCAGAATGCGGACAACACCTGACACTGGTGACACGGGTGCAGCAAGAACCCTCCTTCGTCGCTGATGGGAACCCAAAGTGGCGAAGCCGCTGGCAAAGCAGTTTGGTGCTTTCTTATAAAACCAAATGTGCTCTTACCAGAGGGTCCAGCAGAATGCTCCCTGGTATTTACCCAAGTGAACAGAAACTTGGGTCCACACAAAGCTGCACGTGGATGTTTACAGCAGCTTGGAAGCAACCTTGACATCCCTCCGCAGGTGGACGGATAAATACACTGGGGGCCATCCAGACAATAGGGTCTTAGCACCACCAGAAACAAATGAGCTGTATGGCCACAGAAACTCACGCAGGAGCCTTAGATGCATGTGATTGAGTGACAGGAGCCGGTCTGAAAAGGCTGCGTAGTGGATGGTTCTAATCCTATGATGTTCTGGAAAAGGCAGAACGAGGCACATAGTAAAAACATCTGCAGTTGCCAGGAAGGGGGTGGGGTGAAGCACGAACAGGAGGGGCAGTGAAACCCTCTGCAGAATCCTGTAACGATGGATCCGTGATGTCGCACATGGTCCAGACCCACAGAGCGTGAAACACCGAGAGTGAATCATACTGTAAACCGCGGACTCTGGGTGATTCCGTGTTCACGTAGGTTCCTGGATCGTAACACGTGTCCTGCTCTGGTGGGGATGCTGGTAACACACGAGGCTAACCAGGTGGGACAGGAGGTACGGGGAACCCTCTGTACTGTCTTCTCAAGTTTCCAGTGCAACTAACACTACTCTAAAAGGCTTTAAAAGAGAAAACAAGGAACATAGCGCTGAGATGGAATGTTCTTGAACAGGAAAATTCACAGGAACAGAGAGCAGATTCGTGGCTGTGAGGGACGGGATGGGGATGCGATGCAAAGTGGCTGGTATTAAGGGGACAGGGCCTCC